CTTTTCTCTTCGAATCCATGAACTTTGGAACGTGATCGCCAACGTGTATTCACCAATTATCGCGACTTATTTTTCAATTACAAGGAGGAGAGGATCCAAGATATCTTATCCGTCGAGCATTCTTTTCTTGTTCCCGTCTCGACGACAGTCGCACGCGACGTGGTCTCGTTTCTTTTCTAATCGTCGCACGTGCGATCGATGGAACAACGATTATCTAAAAGTGGACGTCGATTTCGAAACGAGCCGAAGCAAGTGGATTCGCGAACGATAATATACGTTGTTTCCCTATCGAGGAGTCGATGATCTTCTCTGCTCGCCTTCACCCTACTCACTTGCGAAAATGCGCGCGACGAATCGCGAGCCTCAAAACGATGTAGGACACGAGGAAAAACCGGAATGAACGAGCGCCGATAAAATAAACTCGTTCGATCCGGTTTGAAAATTGTTGAATTGAGCCATGACAAGCGAGCGTAGGTGTTTGGCGAAAAAACTTTCGCGATCAATTTTGCCTCCGCTGGAATAGAACCGCCGCTTTCGTTCAACTTTCCACGGTGCTTTTCCGATTTCTAATTTTCGAATAATGTTTAAAACAATCTCCCGAGAATCCGTCGGACCGATTATCTTTTCGATTCGATAACATTACTCGGCGAAGAAGGAATAGGCGTTTATTCGTTCCGACGCCGTTCCGGTCGCTCCCATGTCTAGTTCTTGTGAATAAAACATTATCCGCGCTCTCCTCCGTAATCGTGTTTTCTCCGAGCGAACTAGCGAACGAACGAACGAAGAGTAAGTAACCAATAGTCGAGCGGCAACCAGGCGGAAACAATTGATCGGTTAGAACGAGGAATCGGCGCGGAATTCCAATAACTCGTTGTATGATCGATCCTTGATTAGTGCGAATGAAAATTCTCCGTTTCCCTCAGTGTCGACGCACGGCACTGCACGCGATAACAGGTGTGTATGATCACGTGCAGTTTCCAATTGCAAATATCAACCACTATAAAACGTATAGATGATATGATCTTTGAATCTCGTCTATTTGATTCGATAGAACGTGGACGAAAGGAAGGATCGAAGGAAGGAAAGATTAATGTGTATTCGTAAAAACGTAATCCTTTCCACTCCTGACAATTTTCCCAAAGCGGACGCATTACTTTCAATTTCGAGCTTCGTCGAAAGCTTCCGGCGCAGTTACGTTCGCGCGTGCACGTTATTTCGCTCGGGAGGCGGACGTTATTTTCCACTTTACTAAGTGAATAACGCGTTTAGGGGCCGAAGCTGTTTCCTGTTGACACACACGGGTGCATACCTGATATCAAGATAAACGACTGCATCGAGTTTACTTATACCGAGGAGGAAATTATTTTAAATCGAATCAACTGTCATTTTTATCCATCGTTTATCCATCGAAATGATCATGAAAACTTGAAAAAAATATCCGATCGATTTGTTTTCTTAATTATCGAGCGTAGGTATCTAGAGAGCTCTTAAATCGATCAAAAATTATACCGTTTTTATTACCGACCGACATTCGTCCGGACACTTCCGTTTCGTCCAATAGTTGGTAATAGACGCGTCAATTCTTCCTTATCGACGCGATATCGAATTCAAACGAGTCGTACAAGCCGTTACGTAACGATCAAAAATGGAAATGTATCGCGTATGTCTCGAAAAGCATAGTTCTCTATTTCGATGATCGCTGATGTAATAATTAAATAATTACGTCCAAAAATCGAATTCGTTCGATCGTCGGACAAACGACGGGGAAACACTTGAACGTCGAATAGTATCGATATTACTCGATACGCGTGTTTCGCACGCACTTTTGTCGCACGTGCTCGTAATGCAATAGATTTTTGGCACGCGATATCCATGATGCTATCAATAACTCATCGCGTATCTTTTATTTTCGCAACTCGATGACGCGATTAATACAAATTTTTAAACGTTCGAATATCCCTAGCGTAAGTAAATAATATATCGCTTCGTTCGATTTCGGGGAATCTATGACGCGACACTTCGTTCGATACGAAACGTGAAAGTCATCGACAAGCTTGTAACGTTTCATCAAATTACGTTCGTAAATGAAATATCGGCGCGACCTTGTTGTTAATCGTCGAATCAATGTTTTGTTAAATAAATGGGATATGAGCGTCTTAACGATATTATGACTCATTCGTATTTCTCAAGATTCATCATGATACGCGGAAAATTCATTGGACCGATAACGAAAAAGAAAAGAAAGAAAAAAAAGAAAAAAAAAAAAAAGGGAAAAAAGAAACGATAATATTTTTTCTTGAACAACAGATCCTCGTTAATAATAATAATAATTCAGTGCATGACGTGATCGCGATTACGGTATTTAATAATATCATCGTGATCGAGAAAGATAAGAAATTCCAAGGGTTACGTGAGGATTATGATATCTCGTTGATCGCGAAGATAAGCAGTGGTAATCGTATCGTACGTAGGCGGCGAGTAAAGCGATAAATTTGCCGACAATTTTTTCCGATTACGTAATTTCCTTACGTAGATACTCGAGAACGAGAATATTTTATCTTGACCAATCGTGTTATACTTAAAAAGAAAACACATTGCGAATCGTGAATCGGAAAAGTAAAGGATAGTTGCAAAACAGCACGGAATTCGAACAAATATTCTCGACGGGAGACGTTTGTCGCGAGGGGGGAATCGATCGCAAAATTGTCGACGATGCGATTCGAAATTACAGCGCGTAGAGGAAGGTGCGTTCGCGCGCAATTCTCCGATTGGTGGAATCGAGCCGTGAACGTCAGATGGCGCTGGTGCGTCCAACGAGAGGAAGGGATTGACAATGCTTGCACGACGATTGGTCGAAAAGACCTAATTGCTCGGACGATTCGCTTCATCACACCGCTCCCCGCTATTCCCCGTTGGGTTCCATGGTTCCCGGCTTCACACCGACCGAACTAGCATGAAGGAGAAAAAGAGAAAGAGGCAGGTGCGTGCTCGCTTCTGATCACGGGATCGTTGTTAATCATCGTTATCGGTGTACCACGAAACCGTCAACCGATTCATAGCGACGAGAAACCGATATTATTGTCGCACAGTGAGTGTTGGGTAGCGCCCGAACAAGTATTTTGGAAGAATCATCGCTGTATCATCTTTGTCGCCGTCGTCTTCTTTGTCGTCGTCATCGTGCAAACTAAGAGCCTGGTGTTTGCCGAAAGATTGCGCGCAACAGTGTTGATTTTCCCCGACTACCAATAAGAAGAACATAGCGAACCACTCTATATCTCTGTGTTGAAAGCGGCACGCAAGTATATACTTATACACAGTGTCTTCTCTCGCTTCGCGACAGCCTATTCGAAGCAGGGGATCCTCCAATCGGAAATTGCAGAAACTTGGTATTCACCTCTACACTTCTACTTTAGCCTTCGTATTCGCGATTCACGAATAACGAACTAACGGATATATCGTTTCCGTATCGTGTCGCGTGTGCGTAGAGCGCGTGTCAAGCGTGCGATGAACGGCAACGGCAGACCTCATGGAGAGAACAGAGGACGAAATGGCCACGTGCTTGTGTGGGAACAGCCAGGCCTGGAGGAAGAGGAGTCACCTGCGCGAATACGTAAAAGTACGTCAACCTCGCGCAATCTTTGACCTCGAAATTCCGCAACTTTCTGTCCGAGTTTCTGCTTATCTCCACTCTCGAGGTCGTATCTCTGTCATAGATCGAAACTAGTTTACGAAACTTGATGTATCCTATAAACCACGCGTCGAACCACGTGCTCCCGCCGTCATTCTTCGCTCTCTTCCTCATTTACGCTGAGGTATGTTCTCTTCCTTTCCCTTTCTTCCTTTACTCTTCTTTCTTTATATGTATACGTATGCCACGCGTATGTGTTGACGCGTCAAATTTAAAACTCGAATGGTAAAAAAGGAGAAAGAAAAGAAACGAAAATTGCTCTATTCCTAGTTCGACTCGAACGTGGTGTCATGTTAAAAAATTATCAGCATAGAGGAGCAAACGGCGCTTTTGGAACGGCGTGTGGTGTGGTGTGTGTGCGCGCGCGCGCGCGCGTGTATACTTGTGCTGTGCTGCTGTATGTCGTTATAATCTTTTATTTTTTTTTTTTTTTTTAATTTTATTATATTCGATCGTGTTAAAATTGCGCTTTTTTTTCATATATAGAAAAAAAAAAATGTTCGCGAAGAATGATGAATAGAAAAGGCATGCGACCGTTTTACGGACTTTGATATTTGATTTCACGACTCTGTGATCAAGTCTTGACATCGAGAATAGAGGCAATGTAACTTGGCAGTCGACTGCTCGAAACACGAACCGATTCACAGCAGATCGCGCGACCAAGCGTCACGTGCACGACTCGACCGCGCCTCTTTCTCCACTCCCTCACAATCGCCGTTACTTCACATCGATAAACGGACGACAATAACGTCAGCTCGTGGTACATAGCTCGCCGAAGTTATTTCCACCGAATACGATTGACCACGTGCTCAGTGGATGCTCAATGATCGCTAACCACGTGCATTCTCAGCTTGAAGTAAGGAGAATCGAGAAGGACACGATGATCATGCGTGAAATATATACGATCGAAAATATCGAAAGAACTTGATTAGCTCGATCGATTATCAAACGCGACTCTTTAACCCTCACGACCGAGAATTTGCTTTCAGTAAATTGTGCTTGACGAATGAATGACGCGACGAGAATCACGTTCAAACAGTAGAACGTAAACTGAACGGGACGAGGGACGGGACGGTGGGAGATGATCAAAGTTCGTATGCCGAAAAACTCGTGACATATTTATACGTTTGCACATACGATTACGGGCCTCGCTCACAGAAATTCGCGGAAATAAACAACGATGTAGAGACGAATTTGGATCGTGGCGCGTGCAAGAAATATACGATTCACGGTCTCGTTTAATTTCTCGTCGAGCGAAAATCGGGCATCCATTGATAATATTATATATATTCGAGAAAAAAAATCGTCGCGATAATCGTCCCTCCGTGCAAAAATAAATCTTACATCGATTCTATTATTAAGTCGCAATATTATCTCGACATCTCGTCGCAGGAGCATCGCGTTATAAATAACCGATGCGTAACTAGTTTGAACGAGTCGAGCATGGACGGAATCGCGGTTGCCAAATCGGAGAAAGGGCTAACCGCGAGACACTTTTCCGTCAATCGGCAGCCATCGGTGCGATGCGATTGTCCCCTCGACCTTGTCCGCTCGCGCGGATAAAACTGCTGCGTCCTTGGCGTCCTTCCATAACCGCGTCTCGTTGTTCCGTGCCCATTCATTCTTCTTTTTTTTTTTTTTTTTTTTTCTTCTTTCTTTCAATATTGCGCGCCATCGTTTATTATTCTATTATTTCGACGGAACGTTTGTTTTTCTCATTGTTACGCAAATCACGATCATTTAAGGCCAATTCACGTAATTAAGATACAGAATTTTAATTTCTATCATCACGAAACGACTCGAATATAAACGATTCGAATTCTATCTGTTATATATCGGTATCGATGATAATCCTTTTCCCGATATATTATTATTAAATATATCTTATTATTATTAAATATATATATATATATAATCGTTCAATTAACGATGGTTCGATGTTGCAGCATTGGTGGGGTCGCGTCACATAGTGACTCTGATGCTGTTCTTCGGTATGGCGAATGCTTATGTGATGAGAACAAACATGTCTGTGGCGATCGTCGCGATGGTCAATCACACTTCCATCACGGAGAGCAAGGAACCTGTGTTGAATGAGTGCGGACACGAGAATGCGAGCCATGATTTTTCCACCTTAGCCGTAAGTACGACGCAAAATTATACATAACGAATCGCAAATGCCGTTCTCTTCGCTTCCCCCATTCTTTATCTCGATCGATCCTTAACCAACCGATCCTGCGTACAATTCCCGAAACCCGAATAGGTATATCGCCAGTATTTCTTTCTTGTGTCACAGAACCATGGCGACGGAGAGTTTCATTGGGACAGCACCATGCAGGGTTACTTGCTCAGCTCGTTCTTCTACGGTTACGTCATCACGCAAATACCATTCGGAATACTCGCGAAACGTTACGGATCGAAATACTTCTTGGCATCGGTATGCTGATCAATTCGATGTTTGGACTGCTGGTCCCTGTGTCCGCACGTGCCGGTTACCATTGGCTGATGATCGTTCGATTTATTCAAGGTTTGGGCGAGGTAAGCGATCCGGTCGCGTCTCCTTTCGATCTCGCATCGCACCGTGCCCCCCCCCCGTCCTTTTTTTTTTTTTTTCTTCTCTCTCTCTAATTCGACCGACCCGATCGGAAAGGATAGAAAAGTCTTTAATATCATTCTCGTTGAACGCTTTTTGATCGTTCGGGTGTATTTCCTGCCCCTAGGAATGGATTATCCCTATTGCAGGTCCTATTGTGCCTTGCACACACGCGATGCTGGCCAAGTGGATACCGCCTAATGAACGTAGTAGAATGGGAGCCTTCGTATACGCTGGTAAGCTCGTTCGTTTCGACGATATCTTTCCGATTCTTTCGACCTGCGTAGCCTTGTCGCGTCTATCGCCACGGTAAACTACTGGGATCTACCGGAAAAAACGACACTACTTTCTTCTCCTCCCCTTTCTCTCCTTCTCTCCCACCTCCTTCCTTTTTCCTTTCCCTCCCACTTCTTGTACTTCTCATTCTATTGTCTCGTCTTAATACACTTGTGTAAATTAAATTGTATTGTTACACGATGTTATACTATATATATATATATATATATTCTGTATTGTATTTCGAATGTAGGCGCTCAGTTCGGTACTGTTATTTCAATGCCTTTGAGCGGTGTCTTGTCCCGGCATGGATTCGATGGCGGTTGGCCCTCCATCTTTTACGTGTTCGGCGCCGTTGGCACCATCTGGTGTGTAGCATTCCTACTCATGATTTACGAGGATCCGGAAAGCCATCCTCGTATAGCCGAGGACGAGAAGAAGTACATTTTGAGCGCCTTGTGGGGCAACGCTGGTGCCTCTGTAAGTTTTCTCGTTTCGTTTTACTTGTTATTTTGGCATGGCAAAATTTCTAAATCTCTCCTCTTATTTTGATCGATTTATCACGGGATGTTTTACAGTCTCCACCGGTACCATGGTTATCGATCGTCACGTCGTTACCGTTCTGGGCCATCCTTATAGCACACATGGGACAAAATTATGGATACGAAACGTTGATGACCGAGCTACCGACCTTCATGAAACAAATCTTGAACTTCGATATTGAATCGGTAAAAAGGAAACTGGAAAGGGTGAAAGTAATAAGTGGGTCAAGATCAATGATTTCGAGTACAAAAATTCGTTTCTTTCAGAACGGCACCGTTTCCGCCCTTCCTTACTTAGCAATGTGGATATTCTCGATGTTGATCTCTCACGTGGCCGACTGGATGATCTCCAGTGGGAAATTCAATCACACGTTCACGCGAAAAATCGTGAACAGTATCGGCCAGTTCGGACCGGCGATCGCCCTTGCAGCCGCTTCCTATACCGGATGCAATTCCTGGCTGACCGTGGCCATTCTCACGGTCGGCGTGGGTTTGAACGGGGGTATATATTCCGGATTCAAAGTAAATCATTTAGATATCTCACCAAGATTTGCCGGCATTTTAATGTCGTTTACCAATTGCTTGGCTAACTTGGCCGGCCTATTGGCGCCTATCACGGCCGGATACATAATCGTCGGGCCGGTAAGTATAATGGTAGATTGATGGTCGTCGACGATGGAGAATCATCAATATTTTCCTTTTTTTTTTCAGCCGACTCATGCGAAATGGAGGCTCGTCTTCATGATCTCGGCCGGCGTGTATGTCGCCTGTGCCACGTTTTACGTGATATTCGGCTCGGGACAACGACAACCCTGGGACAATCCTGACAAGGACGAAGAGAGGCAACACGAGAAACAAGACTTGCGATGCGTTAAAACTGTTTCGGAAACGCAACATTGACGAGATAGCGTGCTAGTTATCTTCCCGCGCCCTCCTCCACGTGTTTCTCATTCTGTGTCAATCTCGTTCCTTTTTTCCGCGACCGGATGCGAGAATCCGGACCATGGTCCGTTTCGATTATCTCCTTCGCTTCTTCTCTCCTCCGCGTATCATTATTCATCTCGAGGCCGGTCGGATCTCGATGATTCGAATTTTGGATTTGGTGAACATTGATGAGAAATGATGAAAAAGCAACGTGTCAGGAGTCGTGTTGTACATGAATCCTTGAACGCTAGACGAAATCCTAGATGCGAGAAAGAAGAAACGAACGCGAATATTATTTTCCAGCAAATTGCACTCGAAGCACAGAATCGCGACGAATCGTTTCGAACGATTAATTTCCTCTTTTTTTTTTCTCTCTCTCGCTGTACGCGAGGAACCGTTTGTTCTTCGCTCGTGAGCCAAGTTAAAACGCACGCAAATATTTTTGCTTATAAGATAGTCAAATCGGAAATCACGATCCTACGTCAACCACGGATAAAATTAAAGAAAAGACACGTGTCTTCAGATATGTACCACTACACATGTATTTGTGCATGCATGCGCGTGCGTGCTTGCGTGTCAATTTGTACGAGAGACACGGGAAAGGAGAGAACGATAAGCGTGTGAGAAAGCGAGCGAACGAAAAATAGAGAGCAGATGTAATTTTTACATTTTTTTTTTTTTATTTAATTACTGAAATTACGTGCTTTTCGATCAAAGAATATGAATAACAAAGATCAAATGGACACGTTAATTTCCATTATACGATATAGACACGGCTGGCAATAATAAGCCGGAAGGGACGATCGATCCAAATTTTCAGCTTATTTCTGAATTTCTGTACTGAATTTATGGATCGCGCATTCCTTCCTTCCTTTCCTTTTGATCAAAAGTAGCGTTCGATATCACAATCAATCGTGCTTTGCGCAAAGTGCGATGCAACGCCCGTATACCCATTATATACTATCGTACGAGGAAACGGAGAAATACGATAACAGTATTAGAGCAAATATCCTCGCATCTCTTCGGTCTTCGTCTTCGTTCGTTACTTGCCATTACTATGTTATAGCGAGCAACTGCCATTTTGTATTGTTAGATCGAACATCGATCGCGAAAAACACGGCGAATCGATCATTGCGAAAACATTCGAGAATTTTTGATTCTCGTTAACATGATAACATGACGCAATACAATAATGGTTTATAAATATTGTACATATTTTTACGTATAGGTTTCTATCGAATTGCACGACTTAGACAACTTTTTTTTTTTTTGCTCCTCTTCTTATTTATGCAAACGTGTACAAAATAGAATGAAAGGGATATGAAGAAAGAGAAAAAGACAGAAAAAAAGAGAGTGAGAGAGAGGGAGAGAAAGATAGAGAGAGAGAGTAGTATTAAGCGTGTTAGAGAAAACATTCAAAATAATTATACTTGTAGAATATGGAATTTGTGGAATGCATTTTCTTTTTTTAATTATTGTTATTATTATTATTATTAATTATTATTATTATTATTATTATTATCATCGTTGTTATTATTGTTGTATTATTATTATTATTATTATTATTATTATTATTATTATTAGGAATAGCAGTAATAGTAGTAGTAATATTACTAATAGAAATAGTATTCATCATCATCATCATCATCAGCATCATCATCATTGATATAATCGTCGTACGACTGAGCGCCAAAGCAAAAATTATCCGTCTTTGTTTTGCTTCTCTTTCTTTTTACTTCCGTACATGCAGGTCATCGTTACGGGTATTTTTTGTCGATCGATTACTTTTGAATTTACGTAAGTTCGATGTGTACGCGAGATGCTCGAACGCGATAATAATATTGTCTACCCTCGGCGTTTAAGCGAAAGTTTAAACTTTGTCCGTGACATCCAGCATAGAATGTACTCGATATCTTTCAAATTATCTAATCGTGTTCTGTTCATTATCATATATATTTTCGTCTAATCGATCTCTGATCGTATTGATAATATCCTTGATTGAACAGACAGGAATCGGTTTGAAGTATCTGCGTCTTCTTGTGATCTTCTAACTTACCAATATCATCGATATCTTTGTCCAAAGTTACTGCTAGATTCATGGTTTAATCGTTATTACAGCAAAAATGATCAATTATTAATTCTAAACTTTACTTGCGTGAGGGTATTTTAAATTGTGATCATGGATTAAATGCTGCATTAATCAAAATTGATTTTGTACTTTAATTGTTAGATTATATGTAACTAACTATGTATATATATATATGTATGTATATATACGTATATATGTATATATATATATATATACACACACACATGTATGCTATGTGTATATGTACTTGGTATGTGCCAAAGTGCGTGTATGCATCCATGCGTTACTGACGATCGCGATAGAAAAATTTATATTTGCAAAATTTTGAGAAATAATTCTCGAGATACGAGATTATGTAGACAATTGTAAAACGATCGATATTTTTATACAAATATTTGTGACTATTGCGCGGCCAAGACTGATGCAATCTCTTGGGACCGTATGTAATTGTCTTTCATATTGTCGAAATTATAAAAGTATAATGATGTATACACGGGTAAATAAAATATAGTCGTTCGACAATTATATTAATTGTGTGTCATTGATTAGCTTGTTTTGTTTTCTATTCATTTTTTATATACTTAATCTAATTAATTTTAAAAAATCAAGTCTCGATGTAAAATCGAAAATTAAATACAAGAAATCATACGTATTTGTTCATTTCAACCACAGATTATAGATTATATATATATATGTATCTATCGTTAATACATTCTTTTCGCATAGTTTATGGATTACATAATCCTTATTACTTGTACTTTACGTTAAATGCACTATTATTTACTCAATAATAATGGAGTAAATAATTTAAAAAGTATTATTAAAATTGAAATGTACGTTATATATTTACGCGCATGACAAATGAAATTTGTATAATTTTTTTCTACATATTCATATAATTCTATTATATGTATGCGTATTTCATACAAAATATGCACGAAATATTCATCCACCGATCACATCCAACGATATATACGACATATAAAAATATATAATACATTTTGCTCGTAAATTAGATGAAGATTGAAAAATTTCTGAAAGATTATTGCCATCTCGTGTTTGTATACTGAAATTAGGAAAATATTCTATGGTGTGGCGAATGATGTGAGTGTGCACGTCACGAAAAATTTTCTATTCTATGGCGGATGATGTGGGCATACGTCATTAGATAAAACTTATCTTGCGTGGGAACGAACGTTCGATTTTTACTCCATGATCAATTTTTACTCTATTTTTCTTATTATTGCTGTGTTTCATTTGCAGTACTCTTTGCTAACTTTAATATTTTTATTTTATGTATATTCTTCCATTATTATCTCCTTATTTATATTTGTTCTTGGCACATAATCATAAGCAAGATGAATGAGATGTCAATTCAATATATTTCTTCGTTTTCCTTTTGAAACTACAATTGCGTTTTAATCTTTAATTTTAAAAATATCTAAGTCTATATCAATCATTTGGATGAAATCATTTAGTAGTGAATATGATTCGTACAGAACAACGATATGAATATAATATGCCATTTATTATTTCTATGATCTCTTTTGATATTCTCAATTAGACATTTCATTAATTATATATCAATTCTTTTTAAATACCAATTATGCCATCAATCATTGGATTAAAAGAAAACTGGCTTTAATTCATCAACATGTTAACTAAACATTTTCTCGTGATGCTTCTTGTGTTTCTTCTTTACGCTCAATAAAAAGACAATAAACTTAACTCAAATAATAGAAACCGTTTCTTAAGCCTATAAGTTTTACAGAGCAAATATAGCAAAAGGAAAGGAAATAGTGAAACAAAGAAAGGAATAGAATAAAAATATTAAAATCAGCGCCATCTTCAGAATGCTGTAAATCAAACACACAAAGTAAGAATAGAAAATAATGGGAAAAGGATAGAAATAGAAGATAAGAATCGACTTTCAGCGCTATCTCTTGGATATCAAAAACATCTTAAGATAATATAGTATAAGAATTGAAGATTAGCGTCATCTTTGGAGTACTTGTTCAGAAAAAAGTTATATATTTTTACTAGAGGTGGCGTTGATAGTTAATTCTTATTCTATATCCGTCTCTCTTCTATTTTTTTCTGTCCTTTCTTTGTATACTTCATTTGTGGCTCTTTGAAGATAGTGCTGATTCCATATTTTTATTCTGTCTCTATCTTTCCCCATACTATTTTCTCTCCTTGTTTATAGTTATTTCGCAAAATTTATATATTCAAGAGACGACTTCAATATCTAATTTATTGTCTTTTTAACTTTTGGTCTATTGATTAAAAATCAAGCATTTATATATTTTATATATTTTATATATTTTTTTATATATTTTATGCATGTTTATTTCTACGTATTTATCTATCCTATATATATAGTTTATATTCTTCTATACAGATTTATATGTATATTGTGTATATATGTATATATGTATGAATTTATTTTCTATATAATATACATTTTTTGACTTTTCGTAATTGAAAAAAATCGATTTTCTGCATTATCGTTATATATAATAATTTTTGCGCGATCGGTATTTCAGAACATTTGAGACACAAAGTCCTACTAAACGTTACATTCTATTCTATACTTTGTCTGTGGTCTTACTGTCATCAATCAATTATCAAAACAGGATGAATAAGATTAATATGTATTCGCGATTCATTTGCTACGGTAAGTATTATTCTATATTCTCACGGTTATAAGTATTCCGATTTATGCTCAATTTCTCAACACACAGCAAATGTATTTGTCGTGTCTACACCAATTTGTTTAACCGTTGTATTTGTTCTGAGTAGCTATATAAATTTTTAGGTTAGTTTTCATGACATGATCTTTATGTCGTTAAAGTAATTACGTTTTTTACGATGAGATTGAGTCGTATGTTTGTCTTATAAAAAAAATTTAAAACATTTAATTTTAAAAAACTATAAAAATAAAAATAAAGATGAGGATTTTCATTACAGATAAAAAAGAATAGACACAATGCAAATAGGATTGATAATCGTACAAGTGATCGCAATCGCGATTACGGTAAAATGCAGCGATATTACTTCCGCGGTGTTCGGGAACGTATTAGACGGTATGCCAGCCGCTTTCGGTGATTTTAATTCCGATGAATTGACCGATGTATTCATGCTACGTAAAAATGGTACGACTGTTGAAATTTTTCTGGCCGCTGAACAAGAGCCTCTTTTGCGACCAAGCTTTGACTTAAGTTGCACATTTCGTCGTACTGTCGTTGGTGTGGTGCCAGGTGATTTTGACGGAGATGTGTTTATGGACGTGCTAGTGATCACATTCGACAAGGAAAGAAGATTGTCGTACGTATATATACTATGGGGTGGAAGTGGTCGGTTGAATTGCACGAACGAAGAACATCCTCTGCTTAACATGACAGGTCAACCATTGGCTCTTGATTACAATGGCGATATGATAATAGATTTATTTGGCTTGAATCATAAAAACGAGCGTACATTCTGGGTGTTCAATCAAAGCAGGAAAGCACCGACAGCTATACCAATGGATACACCACAAAAAGCATCGATCAGTCAACCTCACTCGAATGCTTATCTCGACTTAAACAACGACTTTTTAGCAGATCTAGTTGTCACTACAAAGAAATATTTTGAAATTTGGCACGGAGTCGAGCAAGGATTTCAATTTCACAAACCGATATCGTTCCCCTATGGCATAACATTGGATGATTTTAATGGCGTGCTTGGACAAACGCTCTATTTGGATGTCGAATTAACGGGCAAAATGTCTTTGCTTTTGCCTCTCTGTTTCGATGACGCGTGTACAAATAGCACGATCATGATGTACTCTGATGTACATGGTACATCTGATAAGTGGTACAATCTGAAAGTAAACTTCAGAGATGGGGATAACGTGTTGTGGGGTTTCGTGAAACCTGATGGACAACGATACACCGATACCATCACTCTTCGTGGCGGTGATTTCAACATGGACGGTTATCCGGATTTGTTAGCCACGTTAAAATCGACCAATGGAAAACAAAAACGTTCCTATCTATTGGAGAATGTCGCATGCGATTCGTGCGTTGGATTCGCCCGAAAATTCGAAGTTAAATGGCAAGCGTTGAACCCATTCCACAATGAAACCGCTATGGCGGTATTTTATGATTTTTATCAAGATGGTATTTTAGACGTAATCTTGGTGGAGTTGGAGAAAAGTAGCAACACTTATCGTACAGCCGCGTTTAAAAATAGTTTAGATTATGATGCAAACTTTGTCAAAGTGATGGTGTTGACAGGACGTAACAACAGTATGTATCCAATTTCTCCTGGTTCGCTCGGCAAGAAAAAGAGAACATACGGAACGAATCTTCCTGGCCCATCGATTGCCTATCGAACCACCACACAAGATGGCAGTCCGCGGAACGCGATTGCTGCTCAATTGCCGCAGAGCGCACATTTCTCTCTCAATTTACCCTACACGACTTTCGGTCTGGGTAGAACGCCCAATTTTGTCGACGCTCTCACCATCGGGGTAAATATCTTTGCAAGCAATTTACAATACAACTTTTTTTAACTAACTCATCACAAGACTGTTTATTTTATTTTATTTTATAGGTTGGTGGAAAATCACGAGAATGGCCGCAAATTATTCCCAACTCTCAAATGGTAGTAATTCCAAATCCGATAGCGGAACCTTGGCGATGGAAAGCCCAATTATTCGTAACACCTAGCAAATTAATTTTACTCAGCGCTGCCGCGTTGACCGGTACCTGTGGTTTAATATCCTTGATTATCATCGCTCTGTATTGGAAAGAGCGAAGAGAAGACAAGATCGAGAAACTTCAGGAAGCACACAGGTTCCATTTTGATGCGATGTAAAGGTCCGATGTAAAAATCCGTTGAATATCTTTAAGAAAATTGTATTTAATGTAATAATTTAATGTAATAATTTGATAAGTTATTCCGTAATCGATAAATAAATAAATGATTCGTTAAATTAACAAATATACAAACATCTACAAAGAAATGAGCGAGTGAACGAATAAATGTATACATATGATTGGACGCGATGTATCATATAAATCGATACGATTAATGGTACTCGTGTAGGTGTGTGTGTGTGTGTGTGTGTGTGTGTGTGTGTGTGTGTGTTGCAATATGTTTAATTTAAAGAAACTTTGGCGGTATTTTGTACAATAAGTTTCTGAAATATATCGCGCACTCTCTTTGTTTCAGATAGAAAATCGTCGTGATTAATAAAATTGACAATTTATTGATTTCTCTTGGACATTTTTATAACAGAGGACCCGTTGCTTAATCTTGCATCATAACCGATGCATCGAGTGCGAAATATATACTTACAATAATAGTAATATATATATATATATATAATAGTAATATATATATATATATAAATATTAACAAACGATCTTTGCCGGCATGATTTTGGTCGTTGCACTACTCGCGACATACGCTGTAGATTGAACGAATTTAAACGAGATTCACTACTGACAACGATCGTTTTTGATGGCAGGGTTTAAGTCGTTGAAATAGGGATGCGCCATTGCTTCATCCGCTGACAACCGTAACGCTGGATTACACACCAACAACCTCTGAAAAGGTAAAAATTAAAAAACGGTAAAAAATCGAAGAAAAAAAAAAAACAAAAAATTTTGATATTTTTAGGTATAAAAAAACGTAAACGAATGTATTTGAACATTCTCTTTTACCTGCAATAAATCTCTGCCTCTGGAATTAAGTTTCGGCGTAACTTGAGCCAATCCTTGGGCAGGATGATAAAGTGGAAAAGGTTTGTAATCTGGAAGAGTTGTAAAATCTGGCCACGTTTCTTCGGTCGGTGTACCCAACATCTTAAATATTCTCTTCAATTGATCGTCCACATCCGAACCGGGAAACAAGGGTCTACCGGCGTTTGCTAGCTCTAAATAATCGAGATCGGTATCCACAAATCCGTCGTTATCCTCTCTATATTTTTTAAGGCATTACTCACCAGCAAATATACATCCGGCACTCCACATGTCAATGGACGTTGTGTACAATTTCGCTCCAAAGAGAACATCTGGCGGACGGTACCATAACGTTACAACTTCCGCTGAATAACATTTTACGGGAATTCCAAAAGCTCTTGCTAGTCCAAAATCGGCCAACTTCAACTCGCCATTCTAAACAAATTGTAAGAAAATATAAATGTTGGAAGATAAAGTGGTGTTTTTATCGAATCAAATGGAATTGGTACCTTGTTAATGAGTAAATTTTGTGGTTTAAGATCTCTATGCAATACATTTCTACTGTGACAAAACGCCAATCCTCGTAATAATTGATACCTGGAAGAAAGGTCAAATTTGGCGCGTAAAAATTGTGTATATTTTAAATGTTATACATATATATAAAATACAATAAGTTTTAGCGATACTTTACAAAAAGGATTTGACGACATCCAAATCGATCTCCCCGTTTAAACTGTCAAAATACTTCTTCAGATCCTGGTCACAATGTTCAAAAACCAAAGTCAATTTTTTATCACTATGCAACACATCGTACAATCTTACTACATTTTTGTGCTTCAATTCTTTTAGCAAACAAATCTCTCTGAGTGCGGACGACGGTACACCCTATATGTAATAGAGGGGAAAAAATGGGAGTTCAATATGAAAGAAATGAAAATCGAACAAATTCGATAAATTAATAAACTTATAAAACTCGTAAAACTCACTTCATCGTCTTCGTCTAGTCGAACTCTCTTTAAAGCAACGATTTCGTGGGTCTCGCGATTCTTGGCTTTGAAAACGGTTCCATAAGTACCTGAAACGCAATAAATGCTTGTTTAGCCACCTAGACGTATTTAACAGAATCAATATATCGTTATACTCGAATAGATTTTCAAGAATAAACGATCGTTTTCTTTTTTTAAATGTTTGCATTTGAACGGGATCGAGAGTTAATCAAATGATAAAAACAGTGTATTTAATGATACACTGATCGAGGCCAAAATACGAATATTACTTACATTGTCTATCATCGACGATATAGAGAAATAATTGATAAAAAATACAGAGTTGGAAATAATCGGGGAAGAATTGCGGATGCGATTAAACGATTGTTACTTACTCTGTTTCGTTCAAATGCAAGAAGAATCGCGATAATGATGCGTCGTCGTTCGGTTGTCAAAAAATACACATATACACAGAAATACATAGAATTCAGTACACGTTACGAGAATCCGTACGTAAAAACGAGCGGAATAAACTCGTAGAAAAAACAATGGCAAAATATAACGAATAATTGAGGAAAGATAGACGCTCACCTTCTCCTATTTTCTCGAGTTTCTCATATTTTTGCATATTTTTGGCGATTCGTCGGGCGGAATAATGAAGAGTGGTTAGCGCTGCACTCGAAACAGTCGTGCGCGAACACACCGCTAGAAGTGGCGCCACAAGCGTTTATCAGCGTGACGCTTCACTAGAATTTTTGTGAATCGATCTCCGCGCTGTTTTCAAATCGTTTCGATATAGAACGATCGAATAATCGTTCGTTCCGGACACGACTTTTTAACCATCTTTAGCTCGATCGAATGACGCAAACGATCTTACGCATTATCGATATACGACAATGTTCACGTCGGTATAAGAAACGAATAAATCAAACAAAATATAACGTAACGACGACGAATGCACGCCAATCATCGAAATATAACCTAGCCGTGGAAGATTATCATCAAAGATAAGACGAAATATATATATATATATATATATATATATATATATATATATATATATTATTATAATATAT